TTGGGTTTTCAATATTGTGTTAATATATCCAAAACGAATCTGAGTAAGTTCAAAAGACACATAACCCAATTGTATAATATTCGAACGAGACTAATTAACAATATAAACCAAACCGGTTTAAAAAAGCTAGACCTGAAGAATCAAACCAAATTTTGACCAAGAAATAGTACCAAACCTGAACAAAAATTTGTTAAATATCCGAGTATGTTCAAAACTTTGGTATATAAAGAACCAAAACCGACCCTGATCCGAACCAAAAATATTTGGGTATGTGAATATCCTAATCAGATCTATATACACTTGAATAAGTTATCTATCTTGAGATTTTAAATACAAAAAATATCTAAAATTTATAATATAACTTGAAGTTGTCGAAAGTATTTAAAATATATACAAATAGTAAAAATTAAATAGCTAAATTAGCTAAACAATACTCAAAACAACAAAAATACTTAAATTTTTTATTAATTTTCCATCTGATTTTTCAAACCAAACCATTTTTTATGTTAAATTTAGGTATTCTGGCATGCATTATTTAAATTTATATTATATATATAGATTTTGATAATTTAATGTATACATGAATTTATTTTTTAAAATAACTTTAATGGGTTATCAGAACTTAAATCGAACCCGAAAATATCCAAACCGAACTCAAACCAAGATTTTAAATACAATACTAAAATAAGAGTAAAATCTTTAACTCCGAAAATCTAAAATCTGTAAAGACCTAAAGCGAATTCAAATGGGTATACAAATGTCCACTCCTAAGTCAATTTATTGAGAATAGATTAGGTTATTATAGATACATTAATAAAAGATAAATTATTATTGTTACTACAATTTAGTCAATGACTCTTGAATATATAATCTCTATACCTATCATTACTGATGAATATATTTTCACATCATTAATAGTGAATATGTAATTTATTAATGATGACAAAATATATAAGGTGATAGATAATGATGTCAAAATGTTATTAGGAAGTAAAATATGATTTTTTAGAAAATAGTCCATTTTAAAGAAAAAATTACACAGGAAAATAAATTGTGACTTCTATTTTAACATATAAGTTGCAAATTAAGATGAGAACTAGATTTTGACCCGTCCTTAAAGAGGACGGGACAACCATTTATGCTTTAAATTTATGTCCTTGTTTGATTATTCACAAGTATGTATAGACATGAGTATCCGGGTTCAGATAGATTGTCGTTAATAATTTTGGTTTGGTCCAACATATATAGATTAAATACGATTACATACAATTTAATGTGTGGTATAAGATTGATTTTTCTTATTAGATAACAAATTTTAGAGATCCGATGAAATTATGAGTTGTATTCGATAATCTAAAGTATTTATTTGTAATAGTTTATATTTTGAGTTCAAACTTATTTTTTATAAAAAAATAAATAATTTTAGGGTACTATTATAAACAATTTGGTTGATATTATTGTCATATAAAATAAATAGAGATACAACCGACTGTTTATTTTAAAATTATGGTCATAAAAATTGACATTGTATTATATAGACGGTATGTGCTTAAAAATATGATTAACAAAACAAATATATAAGAAAATAACATAAAATTCAAAATACAACTGCGAAAGATTATTGCAAACCCGTAAATAAATCAAAACATCATATTAACGACCCAAGCCCAACACAAATATACCGACAATATCTCTTTAATATATCTTGGACATGCGACAACCACATATCTTTTCAAGAGCGGATATATTTTCTTTATAAATTGATTTATACGAAACAAAGATTTGATAATTATAAAATTACATGTGTTGAAATTTTGCAACTTAATACATTTATAATTGTGTTGNAACCACATATCTTTTCAAGAGCGGATATATTTTCTTTATAAATTGATTTATACGAAACAAAGATTTGATAATTATAAAATTACATGTGTTGAAATTTTGCAACTTAATACATTTATAATTGTGTTGAGCAGTGTTTTCATACCCGACACGGGTTTGAGATTGAGCAACTAAAATTAGTGATATGTATATATTGCAGTTCGGATTTAACTAATTCACCGCTATTCAAAATTTTGGTAAGAATCCAAAATCCGTTAGTAACATGTCACCTAGAACTGATTGACCCGTGTAAAACTAAGATAAAATTGGTGATCTAAAAAAATTGATCAAAATTTTATATATTTTAAAATGAGTACATGAAATTGAATAGTATATTTGATTTGTGATTCTTTACTAAAAGAAATACTACGTTGTCTGATAAAAAAGAAGAAGAGAAAGGCGATAGAGAACACCAAAAAAATGTACTCGTTTTTCAGTATTATTTAATTTTTATTATTAATAATTTTTTACTGGTTCTATTTTTAATTTAGACTTAAATTTTATTTTTTATGATTGCTATTATTTACTTGGTAGAAACCGTGATATAGAATAAAAATGTTAGATATGGTTTTATATATATTAAAAATAGGTTGACATATCCATTTCGAACTTTTACATTCAAAAAGCATTTTATGCATAAAATTTTAATTAGTTAACAACACACTCACACACACACACACACACACACACACACACACACTTATATATATATATATATATATTGAAATAATCATAATTTGGTGTATTTATTTGATTTTAATTTTAACCAAAAATTTAAGAAGTTTAATTATAAAAACTTCATTTTATGATGTGAAATATTTATTGCTACTTGATAAACAAAGATTCACTTTCTAAAATAAATACTCCCAATAAGAATATGTGCTTTCAATCAAATATGCATTTAATAACAAATAGTATTTGTTAGGTTAATTAAGAGGGAGGAAAATAGTGTTCATAAATAATAACTACATCTAATAAATTAAATATTAAATATATTTATTTCAATGGTACAATCCTAGTTTAAGACAGTCGAGTTTGGCACATATATATGTTTCCAATATATTAGTGTAGATTTTGACCCACACTTTGATAGTGCATAATTGTTTTCTGTTAATAATACTATTAACCCGTTTGTTAGTTCATAATAGAAATGAAAAATCTATTTGTTCAAACCGTTTGTAACTTGATAAATATTTTTTGACCTGTAGAAAATGAACACATTAAAAAAAGTTTAACTTATTCCAATACATATGACAAATGAATTTTTGCCCATAAACTATATAACAAATGAAAATTTTGACCCTTATATATATTAAACTTAAGTTATATTCATAGTAGAGAACATTATATGACTCATATATATAGTAAAGGAAGTTTAATATATAAAAGTAAAAGTATATGCCAAAACATATAGGAAACAATGAGAACTTAGTTTTTTTTTTAATATATAAATAAAGTAATATTGATTAAATACAACTATAGTTAGATATGATAGGAAAAACTATTAATTTGAAATGTATAAACCAAACAATATTTTCTTTCTATTTATTTTATTTTCAAATTAAAAAATAATACTCATTTAGATAAATATGAAAACAATTAAGTTTTGTTATCGTTTTGAAATCTCTGCATAATCCAAGTTATATTCATTTTATTAGATTATATCCTTAATATCACCATTTTTATTCTTATATGATTAACATTTGTTTCATATTTGTTTGGATGCAAATCTCGTCGTAATGAAGAAGATAATTGAAAAGAGGAGAAATATTTTAAATGATGCTATTACGAAGTATTCTTAATAAGTTATCTAGTTGAAGAGATTATCTCACATATTAATTTATTTGTTACATTCTAATAAATGTATACTCTTAAATTTGTTAGTTCTTTATAATACTTTTTTACAAAATATTTTTAAAAGTTTTATAACAATTTAAGTTCTAGGTATATTATTTTACATATTTATTGTATAAATAAAATGAAAATTCGATTTTTTTATTTGATGAATTACTATAAAAACTGTATTTAAATTTAAATTTTATGATGCGCTATATATATCTTTTTATTTTACATGTTTGTTTGTTATAAATCGAAAGTCCTACTCCATTACATTACATTTACTTGAAAGATAAGTTATTAGCATAAATGGTGTACATATATAATCTCTGGTTCATGATTTCATAATCTGTTATATAACAGCAAATTACTATTTAACATTAAGTACTTTCGTATTTGCTTAAAAATACTTTTTATATCATTAGGAATATTTACTTTTTACCATATAGTCAAAAAGCAAATTATAAATAAAAATTACAAATATATTAAGGTAATTAATAAACATGATATTTCTATAATTATCACCATAATTGGCGATATTTAGGAATATTGATTTTGTAGTTTAAATCAATGACATAATATTGTTATTAAAATTAAAATGGAGAGATAATCAAGGCAATATATATTTTGTTGGAAAAAGATTTGGTGGAAAAAGATTTGGTTGAAAAATAATTAATAAAAACTATAGGTTTAAATAATACAATGGCAAAGATCTGTAAATATTTCCAAAAATCAAGGGGACCTCAAAAAAAGACCTTGTGTTTTAATAGTATAGATCTCCACAATTTCAGACATAGGATAGTGTTGATAAATAATTTATTTCCTCATCCTCAAGATATTCAAAGTAAAGTTATTTTATTTTCAATTTAAAATAATAAATAATATTCTGTAAAGATATTTTTCCTATTTTAGTGATATAAATTGATTATCTTATATGTAAAATAAATTATTCATTAAACATTGTCTTTTAAATATTTATCGGATATTAAACGACTATTAACATTGACTAGAAACAATTTTCTAAATTAATATAGGTGGCAAATCAAATCTTTCTTATAACGGTTTTAACGGTTTTTTGAAAATCATTTTTGACATTACTTAATCAAGAATTTCTTATAAAATTTCTAATTTAACATTGATTAATAACAAACATATTATCATCTTAATTACAACACTTTTTTTTCTTTGTGACAAAAAAAAAACAATATAACTATTTTTGTTTTCTTTTCTTTTCTTCTATGGGCAGATTTTTCTTTTTCTTTTCTTTTTGTTGGTCAAGCGTATGGCCGAGATTAGTCGTCTGCTTTATAATGTGTTTTATTTTTATTTTTTTCCTTTCTTCTCCTCAATGCTGCTGTAAAGCTTTTTAATATCTTCTACTTGATCTCTTCGAATTCCTACTGATTTTGGGATTCGAGTCTACTTGATTTGACCTTCTCTGATTTGAAAGTTGCAGATTGGATTCAAAGTTTCTTCCTTTATGTATGTTCACGCCTTTGAGGAAGCTACTTCAAGTTTGCTCCTTTTTGTTTATTAGGGCTTCCCAGTGTAGTAAAGAATTCATCTTTCCCCTTTGTTTGCATCAAGAATACAATTTGATTTTGGTAGTTTTTATAGGTTTTACCCGTTTTCAGATTTGTATGTGTATCTGATTTCGTTTTCAGATTTTGATTAGGCTTTGAAGATCAGTTGAATCATTGTAGTTCTTTGAATCCTGAAGAGTTGTTTTTTCCGACAGATATCTCTGTTTGGTCGGTGATAAGATGTGTGTTTAGACCATATCTGCTTTAGGATCTGTTTGGCTTCTGTTTCTAGTTTATAGGCCTACCCGTTTTTGGATTTGTGTGTATATATATATGTCTATCTAGTTACTGATTTGGTTTTCATTCCCTGCAGATTTTGACCATTGAGCGACTAGGCTTTGAAGATCAGCTGTAGTTCTTGGATCCTGAACAGTTGTATTTCCGACAGGCGTTTCAGTTTGGTCGGTGATAATATTTGGGTTTAGAGCATAACTGCTTTAGGATCCGTTTCTGTTGGTTTGGTTTTGAGTGGACGGTTTAAAGTTACAAACTTTTTCATTCAATCCCTCCTTTGGTCTTTGTCTTGCTCTCCTGGGGCATGAACAAACCGGGGGTCGATTCGAGGGCCGATGGTGTTGGCTCTGAAGCTCTAAATATGCAGAGGAGCAACAGTGGCATCAATAACATGCGTATCCCAACACCACCAATGTCCTTCTCCTCCAATAACATTCCCGGTTCTTTGATTCTTGACGGCTCTGCTTCAATGCAGCAACACTTATCTCAGCAACAGCAGCAGCAAGCAGGGCAAAGTTCAGTGCCAATGAGGGAAAACGATTACTCCCATGTGGATAAAAAGCCCAGGATAGAAGTGAAGCAAGAGGGGATGTTGCAGCAGCAGATTTTCCAGCAGCTGATCCAGCGTCAGGACCCTACTGGAAGGAACCCGCAGCTGCAGGCATTGCTTCAGCAGCAGAGACTGAGACAACAGCAGCAGATTCTTCAGTCCATGTCACCTTCTCAGAGATTACAGTTACAGCAGCAGCAGCAGTTGAGGCAGCAGTTACAGCAACCAGGCACTCAGCAGCAGATCCCTCCTAATGTGCGTCCTTACGAAGTTGGCGTGTGTGCAAGGAAGTTGATGATGTATTTGTATCATCTACAGCAACGTCCTGCTGTAAGCTAATAATGTCTATGGATTATTTTTTAAGTTATCATTCTATCACTGATTTTCTGATACGTCTTTTTTATATAGGAAAATTGTATTACTTATTGGAGGAAGTTTGTGGCGGAATACTTTTCACCTCGTGCAAAGCAAAGATTGTGCTTGTCACAGTACGAAAGTGCTGGGCACCATGCGCTTGGCATGTTTCCACAGGCAGCTCCGGTCAGTTTCTTCTTACCCTCTGTGTGTTATAATCTTTGTTTATTACTCCCTCAGCTTTTTAATTTGATGTCGTTTTAGATTAATTATTTTAACACAATTCCACCAATAATAAAATAGACTGCAGAATCAAATGGTCATATAAAATAAAATTTTAATAATTTTACTTTGGAAATTGAAAACTGGAACAAAACTTTTCTCTAAAACGTCATGTATTTGAAAACGGAGGGAGTATTGTTCTTCTCATATATCTAAAATCAGCATAATTGTAGTCACACACATGTTTACTCCACATATACTACTTGTTAATATCACTACACTTTTCTTTCCATTAATAAGTCCATTATGTTTTGGTTGCAGGATATGTGGCAGTGTGATCTTTGCGGCACCAAATCTGGAAAAGGATTTGGTAAGAGAGTTACTATTTTTATTATGTGCCTTCACTTGAACACAATGAAGCAACTTTCATATGCTTTTTATCGTTTAAGAAAAAAACTCTTTACTCGAGATAGAAGCTAAGCTGTCATCTTCTTGTGTCAATTCTACAGAGGCAACTTTCGATGTGCTTGCCAGACTGATTGAAATCAAATTTGCGAGTGGAATCATTGATGAGCTCTTATATCTAGACCATCCAAGAGAAAACAGATTTCCCAATGGAGTGATGATGTTAGAATATAGAAAAGCAGTTCAGGAAACTGTACACGAGCAGTTTCGAGTAGTCCGTGAGGGCCATCTTCGCATCATATTCTCTCAAGATTTGAAGGTGGTTATCCTATTCTTTGAAACTTAAACGTTCTTCAAATTTTGTTACTGCCCTTTCTCTTCATTGAACATGAAAAATGAAGAAAAAAAAGCAATCACTAATGTGCTAGTTAGTGCTTAAGCTAATCTTGTTCTTGCTTCTTTCTAGATACTTTCTTGGGAGTTTTGTGCTCGGCGTCATGAAGAGCTTCTTCTCCGCAGACTTATTGCTCCGCAGGTCCTATTCTGATGACATGACCTATTTATTATAAGCTAAAGGCTTTCCACAAAACGTTTGTGGTTAACTGTTTAACCTTTTCTTTTTCCTTAAACGTTTGTGGTTATTAGTTTGAGGAGATGTTTAGACATGGTACAATGGTGTTGGAAAGTGTATTAAAAACTAAGTATTGGTCATGCAGGTGAACCAGTTGCTTCAGGTTGCACAGAAATGTCAGAGCACGATCACGGAGAGTGGGTCAGGGGGAGTTTCACAGCAGGATTTACAGTCAAACAGTAACTTGTAAGCTGATCCGTAACACACTTGAATTCACCTTTTTACATCCAATATTATGATTTTCTTATTATCCATGTTCTGAAATTTGTTTATTGGGTGGGGATTTGTGTCTCAGGGTTTTGGGAGCAGGACGGCAACTGGCGAAGTTTATGGAATTACAATCGCTGAATGATCTTGGCTATCCAAAAAGATACATCAGAACTCTACAGGTACTCACTCCTAGCAGTAAGTTTTGTATCTTAAGTCTTTAGAAGTCCTAATATAGAGAGCCATTGCGAGTGGCAGATATCTGAAGTTGTCAAGAGCATGAAGGACCTGATGAATTTCACTAGCGAGCACAAAGTTGGCCCTATTGGTAAGTCTACAATTCTTGATTGTCCCTCTGGTGTGGGCTTCACTCTCCTGTTGAGGCGTGATTTGAGTTTCTGACTGAATGTTAATGTTTTGATCCACTTATGCAGAGGGGTTGAAACGTCTTTTGGAACAGACAGCGACAGCAAAGCTTCAGAGACTGGAGCATTTGGGGAATAGTGGAGCTATGAACGGGTCAGCTCAAGCTCAGATGGCGTTGACTCAAGGAACAATGAACGGCATAATTGGCAACAACAACAACAGCTCCAACTCCAACAGTCACAATCAACTTGTTGGTCGTGGAGCTATGAATGGTTCGGCTCAAGCAGCAGCAGCTCTGACCAACTACCAAAGCATGCTTATGAGGCAAAACGCTATGAATAACCCAAACTCAGTTACAGTCAAACAAGAGGGGTTCTCTAGTCATAACCCAACCCCAAACTCAAACCAGAGTCCATCATCTTCCTCCCATCAGAGGCAGAACTTAGCAACGCCTGGATTCCCTAGCTCTCCTCAAATGCAACAGCAGCAACAGCGCCCCATGAATGGCGCTCCCAACACGCTTCAGCAGAATCATCCTCATCATTCACATGGCAACAATCAGGAGCAGCAGATGCTTAATCAGCTGTTACAGGAAATGTCTGAGAACGGACCAAGTTTGCAACAGCAACAGCAACAGCAACAAGCCTTTTCAGGTCAGAGTGGTGGCAATAACAACCCAACTGCCTCCACTTCCAGCATCTCAGGAGGAGGAGGAGGTCGAGCTCCTAGCCGAAACAACAGTTTCAAAGCAGTAGTCTCAAACAACAATCATCATCATTTGTCAGAAGATATGTCAATCCCAGAACTATCTCATGATTTCTCAGAAGACGCCTTCTTCAACAGTGATATTTATGGTAGCTTGTAGCCTTTGTTATATCCGAACAGAACAGAGGTATTGGTTACTTTGACTTAACACCATGAAAGAGTTTTTTAGGCTTTTTTGTTTTTGTTTTTTAGGTTGGTGCTCTGTTGTTTTACTTCTCTAGTTTCTGTTTGGTCTGAGATTTGACATTTGCATCTGGATATAGGTGTTGTAATGTGTTTCTTTATCTGTTTATTTGTGTGACCGAGACTTCATCACAGCTTTTCTTTTATGGTAAAAAATGAAATAAAAGATGGTTCTTAATTTCTATATCCAAGCTTTATAACACTTGGGAGTGTTTTCTGACATTGTTGCCTCGGATTGCTCCATCACCACTGCTGCATCTTCACCGTTGAAAGACCATGAAACTCGTCATAGTGTGGCCTGCCTGTGTTCCTTGAAACTTTGCGCACAAAACCAGAGATGAAGATATGGCTTTTGATTAAGACGTACGAGTCAGGTTGAAGTTGTGCAGAAGGAACTTCTCCATTTTCATCCATTTGGATCTGCTTCATCAGATCCTCTGACGAGCTCCAGCAACCAGAATCAGATCTCTGGCTGGTGTTTTTATTGCCATATTTCTAAAAGCATATATATATATATATATATATATATATATGTCAGGGAAACAAACTAAAAAAGCTATTTAGAAGGAAGAATTGGACAAACCATCATCATCAACCTCAATTATCTTCTGCCTTACAAGTTTGTTGGGTTCTGTCTCCAATATATTAGCTTCATCACATTGTACACGTCCCTTGCCATAGAAATGAACATATAAGAGAGAATTGCTAATGGCTAAAACAAACTTTTAGACAAATGTGCTGCAACCTGAAGTGGATATAGTAAACATCCTAAAGTTCAAATACCTGAATGCCATTGCAGTTCATATGAAGGCAATACATGAGTCTTTAATCAAAGACAAGAAGAGTAAGAGATTCTCTGTCTCTTGTTATTCACTATCATGCTTGGTGGAATAAGGAAACTGATGCAGCTCAACCAACGGTTACTTCGGTTCTTACCTAACCGACATGATCACCCTATTTCCTTTTTCGTTTTGCGTTTTCTTTCCTTTTTATTTAAGGTTCTTTTACTATTAGATTAAGGATTTACAGTTACTTTGTTGCTTATGATTTCCATAGCTAATATAAATAGGTTACGTGATCAACCTTTGTGATCACGACTAATTCAATTAATAAGATTTCAGCTTTCTAAAGAGTTCTTATCGAACACTGCGAAGAGTATTCGCAACCCTCAAGAGTTCTAACGAACACTGCGAAGAGTATTCGCGCCCTTATCCTGTTACTTCACTTCCAAGTTAGGTTTATAAGCTTCCGCTCTCCATCAGTTGGTATCAGATTCAGTACGTTTCTGGAATTCCTCTCTCGTTATCATGTCAAAGAAAACGACAGACGGAACTTCTATGGATATGAATGATTTGCGTGCCCTACTTGTAGAGATGCAAACATCCTTTCAAACATCGATGCAGACATCGATCCAACAATTGGGCGAGTCATTAACGACTCGTTTGGACTCCATGAACACCACTATCAACACGGTGCTAACTCGCGTGGATCCACGACATCCACACCTGCCACCTCTTCCACCAATCCATCAAACACAACGCAATCAGCCACAATTTCTGGGACAACACCAGCAACATCGGCAGCATCCAGGAGATCACAGGTACAATCAATTTGCTGACGCAGAAGCTCACACCGAGGAAGATGAACACCGGCAAGTTTATTTTCATGACTTGCGTCAACACAATAACAACAACAATCGATGGGAAAACAGCTTTAAAGTAGACATACCGGAGTTTCATGGCGGCCTTAAGGGTGATGATCTCATTGATTGGCTAATTTCAGTGGAAGAAATTCTGGAATTTAAGCAAGTACCACCCATTCGTCGAGTTCCCCTCGTAACAATGCGTTTTCGCGGACATGCGGCAACTTGGTGGAAGCAGCTTAAATCCACACGTGCCCGCGATGGGAAACAACCTATCCAATCATGGGAAAAACTCACCAAACACTTACGCCAAACGTTCTTACCTCACAACTACGAACGTACCATGTACAATCGGCTTCAAAACCTGAGACAAGGCAATCGCACTGTTGATGAATATGCAGACGAGTTTGCTCTTTTACTTACTCGGAATGACTTCAACAACAGTCAGATACAACTTGTTTCTCGCTTCATTGGCGGATTACGGCCCCATATCCAAACAGCAATGGCACAGTTTGATCCATCCACGATAGGCGAGGCGCATAGACGCACATCCTCGTTTGAACAACAATCCCAGTCACGATCTTCTTCATGGTCTTCACAATCCAATCGTGCTAAGGACCAGTCAGGGAACAATGCGCCATCAACAGCTCCGAAAGAAGCTAGCGATACCGCAAACCCTTCGACCAAACCAAGCACACAGGAAGAACAGACCTTGCGACGTTCTTCTCGTCAAAGCGCCCTTCGTTGTTACACTTTCGGGGAACCGGGACACCGTCAAACCAGTTGCCTTAATGCAAACCGTCGAGGCTTATTGGTTGATGAGACACATGACAAGGAGGATGTTTATGATTCTCAAGACGAAGACAACCAATCTGACGACGATAACATCCAACGAACTAGTGGTGACACGGGTCATCTTCTGGTTCTTCGGCGTTCCTGTTTCTCACCAAAACACAACGACGATAAATGGCTTCGTACCAATATTTTCCGTGCCACCTGCACCATCCAGGATCGCATCTGCACCTTTGTGATTGATTCTGGAAGTTCTCGAAACGTAATTTCCGAGGAAGCTGTTGTTAAATTGGGAATCACACGTGAAGTCCATCCTTCTCCTTATAATCTCGGCTGGCTTTCTGAAAGTGCGTCAATCCGTATCACGCACCGGACACTTGTTTCGTTTTCTATCGTCCCTTATTATAAAGATCGCATGTACTTTGATGTCGCTCCCATGGATATTAGTCACTTGCTTCTCGGACGGCCTTGGGAATATGATCGAAAGATTGTTCATTATGGAGCAGATAACACTTATCAGTTCTTGTGGGATTCTCATAAGATCCTTCTTCTCCCATCCAAAGAGTCGTTTCCCAGCAAACCACCATTGGTGTCAACCACTCCTCAGCCACGATTACCAGCGGTCACAAAAACGTCACTATCTGTTCCTATGAGACACTTAAAAGCGAACTCGATACAGAAGGAACAGTCTACGCCTTACTTCCCACTCCAGTTTCCCGTCAACTATCAACAACAGTTCCAAGCGATATCGACACAGTCTTGAACGAGTTTCACGATGTCTTTCCAAAAGACTTGCCGACAACGTTACCACCTCTGCGGGACATTCAGCATAATATTGATCTCGTCCCCGGGGCTACCCTTCCAAATCATCCTCACTACAGAATGAGCCCTGCAGAACATGAAGAATTACGTCGCCAAGTCGAAGACTTACTCTGTAAGGGACTTATCCGCGAAAGTTTATCTCCGTGTGCGGTTCCTGCGCTTCTTATCCCAAAAAAGATGGCACATGGCGTATGTGTGTCGACAGTAGAGCCATCAACAAGATTACAGTCCGTTACCGCTTCCCGATACCTCGTCTCGATGATTTATTGAATCAAATCGGGTCAGCAACAATATTTTCGAAAATTGATCTTAAAAGCGGGTACCATCAGATTCGCATCAGACCAGGGGATGAGTGGAAAACCGCTTTCAAAACTCGTGAGGGTTTATTTGAATGGCTCGTCATGCCCTTTGGTTTATCCAATGCTCCGAGCACCTTTATGCGTATCATGAACCAGTCTTTGAGACCGTTTATTGGGAGGTTCGTTGTCGTCTACTTTGATGACATACTCATATTTAGTTCCTCCTTCGCTGCTCATTTATCCCATATACGTGACGTTCTTCGTGTCCTCCGAAGCGAACAACTTTTTGCCGCCAAACACAAGTGCGAATTTGGCGTTCCCGAATTTTTATTTTTGGGATATATTGTCCCCGGCAATGGGTTAGCCATGGACAAATCCAAAGTGGAAGCAGTTCAATCTTGGCCTATCCCGAAGACAGTATCTGAAGTTCGTAGCTTTTATGGATTATCCTTCTTCTACAGACGATTCGTTAGCCACTTCAGCTCGATTATGGCTCCTATCGAAAGAAGGCTGGTTTGAATGGACACCCGAGGCGACCAAAGCGTTTGAGCTTATCAAAGAAAAGCTGACGACAGCTCCCATTCTGGTCCTGCCAAACTTTTCTGAAACTTTCGAGCTCCATAGTGATGCGTCAAAGTTAGGAATTGGAGCGGTTCTCAGCCAACATGGTCGTCCCATTGCGTTTTACAGCGAAAAATTATCAGGCGCTCGTGCAAGGTATAGCACTTATGATGTTGAGTTTTATGCTGTGGTTCAAGCCATTAAACATTGGCGTCACTACCTAGTCCATCGTGAGTTCATTCTTTTTACGGATCACGATGCGTTGCGCCACCTTGATAGCCAGTCTAAGGTTTCTTCTCGTCACGCCTCATGGATTGCATACCTGCAACAGTTCACCTTTTCTATTCGACATCAGTCAGGAAAAACTAACCGTGTCGCCAATGCTTTGAGTCGACGTCAGTCTGTCCTCACCCTTATGCATACATCGGTTACAGGGTTCTCAGCCATGTCTGATTTATACCCTCAAGATGCTTTCTTTGGTTGCTTGTTTCGAGAAGCCACGGCAGGTATATCTGATGAGTACACTTTACATGACGGGTTTCTCTTTCGCGGGCTACGCCTCTGTGTTCCCGATTGCAGTCTACGCCTGCAAATCATCCACGAGCTCCATAATGAAGGTCATGTGGGCCGTGACAGGACTCTACATTTAGTCACAACATCTTACTTTTGGCCTTCCTTACGACGTGATGTCGAGAGATTTGTTTCTCGTTGCCGCGTTTGCCAAGCATCTATAGGTAGTGCGTCTAATGCGGGGTTATATATGCCTTTGCCTATCCCCACTCAACCTTGGACAGACGTGAGTATGAATTTTGTCCTTGGCTTTCCGCGTACTCAAAAAGGGAACGATTCCATCTTTGTCGTCGTTGATAGATTCTCCAAGATGTCACATTTTGTGCCTTGTAAAAAGACTTCGGACGCCGTCAACATTGCTGTCTTATTCTTCCGAGAAGTGTATAAACTGCACGGTTTACCTACCTCTATTGTTTCAGATCGCGACACTAGGTTTCTCGGTCATTTTTGGCGTTCCCTTTGGAAACTTCTAGGAACTCGGTTGGATATGAGCACGGCTTATCATTCGCAAACTGACGGACAAACATAAGTGACTAATCGTTCTCTGGTAACCTACTTCGTTGTTTGGTGGGTGATAATATTAAGAGTTGGGATGTTAAGCTGCCTCAAGCAGAAGTGACTAATAGTTCTCTGGTAACCTGCTTCGTTGTTTGGTGGGTGATAATATTAAGAGTTGGGATGTTAAGCTGCCGCAAGCAGAATTTGCTCACAATCATGCCGTCAACAGAAGTTTGGGGTTCTGCCCTTTTCAGGTCGTGTATGGGATTATTCCTCGCTGTGCATTAGATCTCACGACTCTACCTGATCGTTCTTGTTTGCATGGGGGAGCCGTTGATTTTGTCTCTGAGTTGCAGGGTATTCATAAGTTAGCACACGACAATTTAACGATTTCCACTGCCAAATATAAGCATGATGCAGATAAAAAACGTCGGGAGTGGCTTTTTCAACCGGGAGAACTTGTTTGGGTCGTCCTGACGAAGGATCGCCTTCCTGCTGGTGACTATAATAAGTTAAAGTCTCGGAAGATCGGTCCAGTTGAAGTTCTCGAACGCATTAATGATAATGCTTATCGCGTGTGTCTTCCGTCCCATTTGCGAACTTCCAATGTGTTCAATGTCCGGCACCTTTCTCCTTTTCATGGTGATAATGTCGAGCTGGATTCGTGGTCGAATCCTTCTCAGCTGGGGGGACCTGATGCAGCTCAACCAACGGTTACTTCGGTTCTTACCTAACCGACATGATCACCCTATTTCCTTTTTCGTTTTGGGTTTTCTTTCCTTTTTATTTAAGGTTCTTTTACTATTAGGTTAAGGATTTACAATGACTTTGTTGCTTATGATTTCCATAGCTAATATAAATAGGTTACGTGATCAACCTTTGTGATCACGACTAATTCAATTAATAAGATTTCAGCTTTCTAAAGAGTTCTTATCGAACACTGCGAAGAGTATTCGCAACCCTCAAGAGTTCTAACGAACACTGCGAAGAGTATTCGCGCCCTTATCCCGTTACTTCACTTCCAAATTAGGTTTATAAGCTTCCGCTCTCCATCAGAAACACATGAGCATTAAAGAATGAGATCACTTACTTCCATGAAGTAACAGAGAGGTACAGCAATAGAAGGCTATAGAACGTGTGCTATAGGTGAAGGTTGTAGGCTATGACAAACGTGGATGCTACTTTTTCGCGCGCTTTCTTCTTAGTTTGCTGCTTGATGTAGAACTGTTACCAAAGTGAGTTGCTAGCGACTCTGGGAGGTTCTTATGAGCCAGAAATTAAATGGGCCTATTAGAGTCCGGCCCAAGTCTCTATTGGGCCACAGATTTTAACACATCTTTAAGGTAAATTCTAGCACAGAACAAGCTGTAGTAGAGACGGCTGTCGTAGTAAAATTCTCCGTCGAGATCACTCATCTGTCTACGTCGCCGCCGAGATCAGTAGATCGATAGACAGAGAGAGAGGGAAAGCGGAAGGGAAGAAAAATTCCGACATCATTAGCTTAGTTGGATCTGGGAGAGACAGAACAAAGACTAGAGAGATGGCTATGTCTCAGGTGGTGAACACGTACCCGCTTTCGAACTACAGCTTCGGAACTAAAGAACCGAAGCTCGAAAAGGACACATCCGTCGCCGACCGTCTCGCTCGTATGAAAATCAAGTACGATCCTTTCTCTCTTTCCTCTCTGTATTCTCTGTTTTCTTTTAGTAAAAGATAACCTGAATCAAAAATAAAATAAGAAAACCCTAGAAAGCTCAATCCTTTAAATGCTTAGATTTCGTGTGTTTTCTGGGTTTTGTCTCCTGGTGGATATCGTTATAACTCATTTGACCGAATCGGTTTCAAAACTAGAACTTGATACATGTATTGGTACACAAAACTGGTTAGAAAGATCGGCTTTGGTGAAAGTATTTAACTTTCAAGTGATTATGGTTACTGTACGTGTTTATAGAACAGTTACGTCCGGTAAGTTCGTTGAAAGTTTCATGCTTTATTTCCCAGGATAATTGATTACATTCTAGTCTGTAATTCTTTGTTTTAACTCTGTATTTTTATGGAGTCTGGTGACTGAAGTATATTTATTTCATGTTTTATTAATGGTGTGTGTGTTGCAGCTATATGAAAGAGGGCATGAGGACTAGCGTTGACGCGATTCTGCTGGTATGTGTTCTTCGTTCCTTTTCGAGCTATGAGTTTTATGTTTTGCAGTTTTCGGTTGACTATACTTGTTATCCAACTCCTTTGTAGTTTTTCTCTCTGTTGTATTGTAACTCTTATATTATCATAAATATAATCCTGCTGGAGTGTCAGCTTATTTGTACTTTTTCTTAGCCTTCTCAGTAACGATGCGCTTGCTGTTGTATCGTTAGAACTGTGGCATAAGTATGGAACTATGTGAGATCGGATTGAACGCATCTACGCTCTTTTCTATTTGCCATCCCTAGCTCAAAATTTTTAGTTTCTTCTAGTCAGTGTTTGAAAGACGCTATTTGGCAGGCATATATTATGCTTCTTGTTGTCTTCTTTCTACCATTATTTGCATGCACCGTTCCATGGTTGGTCATGCAGTAACATATACTTACATTCTCATCCCTTGACATTTTATTGAACAAATGATGAAAATGCGCTGATATTCTAAAGGTTAATTTTATAAACTTATTACCCACAACTACAAGTCTATCGTTGGTGCATAAGTTTTGTAAATGATTATTGTCAAGTCTAGAATTGTTACCACCTACTCTGATTTGAAATTTGTTGTATCTCTCCGACCCTGGGATTCTTCTTGATTCCTTTTGCTGATCAACCTTTCAGGTACAAGAACACAACCATCCTCACATACTTCTCCTGCAAATTGGTAACACCTTCTGCAAGCTTCCAGGTGGACGCCTGAAACCTGGAGAAAACGGTATGCATCTGCCATTAGTACTTTCTATACTCCTTAGATTTTCTTTGTTGCTTCATCTTTGGGTGTATCTTATGTCTCGCAGAAGTTGAAGGCCTGAAAAGAAAGTTGACTAGTAAGCTTGGAGGCAACTCAGCTGCCCTTGTACCTGACTGGAAGGTACTATCCTTGTTTCCTCTCTCTATTTCTTTAACTGGTAGCGACCAGATATTTAGGTATAGGTAGAAGCCTTAAATAACTAGGTCGGTGTAGCATTCTTGTAATGAAGATAATCCTGGTTCTCTAATAGAGATTGACATGCTTATTAGTTATTACATTAAAAAGAAAACTTTGCTACGAGTCCAGACATGTTTGATTGAGTTGTGTTTATCGCTCTGTCCCTGATTCATAGTTCGTTGATGGACTTTTGTCCCCTCTTGAACAGGTAGGAGAATGTGTTGCGACGTGGTGGCGTCCAAACTTTGAAACCATGATGTATCCGTATTGCCCTCCTCACATAACGAAGCCAAAGGTATTTTAAAAAGTGTAGCTTCTCAATACTTCTCTTTTACTCTTCTCCTGAATATGTTTCATTAATATCTCATCTTTGTGGAATGTGACAGGAATGCAAGAGACTCTACATTGTTCACTTATCTGAGAAAGAGTACTTTGCAGTGCCCAAAAACTTGAAACTCTTGGCCGTCCCTTTGTTCGAACTCTATGACAATGTTCAGGTTATTATATATTTCCAGATACTATCAACCTCTTTTGAAAATGAGTTTTACCCTCAAACTTCTAACCGTAAATGCTTTTCTTGAAACAGAGATATGGACCCGTTATATCTACCATCCCTCAACAGCTATCCAGATTCCATTTCAACATGATTAGTTCATGATCCGACTTGATGTTCAACATTATAGACTTATTTGGTTCATCCAAGTTTTCAGCATAAGATCTTTATATTTCTAAAAGCATTCGTCATTATTTGACTAACGGCTGTCTTGTCTAACTCGGTGTTGAATACTTTCTATCTTTGTGCTATGATTGAAACATAAGAAACTAGACCATCCTAAAACTTATTTGTTAGATCAATCATTCTTCCTTCCTTGTTTCATTCTATATGACACACGAGAAAATATCACCAATCTCACTATCTTACAAGCTACAACAGTTCACAAGTTGTACTTATTTGCTCAAAAACGGTTAACTATAACTACCACTATCTGTTAAATGGGAATAAATCCGTTAAAGCTCTTACCGCTCTTGAACCAAGTGATTAACCGACTCTGTCACTGTCAAGTTTACCGGACCAATTAACGTGGACTAACTTGTTATAGAAGGAAATTACATAGACTATTCTTCTTCTCTATCAAAGTTTGACCGACGGAGCCACGTGACGTGATCAAGTGCCTGATACGTGGCAACAAGTTACACATGTCACTCCGTAGACAGAGAAACTGGAGACAGCCATCAAGAGATGGCTGGGCTAAAGCTTTCAAGAAGCTCCACAGATTTTATCAAACGCCCATTTGGTAGTAGCTAGGAAAGCAGGAGAAGCGAAAAAAATATTCTATAATGGACTCGCAAGCGCAGTTGCAGCGAACTCATGGTCACCATCAAGCAGAGGAACCGATTAGGATTCACCATCATCCAGGTTCAAATTACAGAACTACATATAGATATAGCTTGAAGTTTAAAAAGGGTCTAACGAATCTTTTCTATGCAGAGGAAGAGGAGCATCATGAGAAAGGACCAGCAAAAGTTATGAAGAAAGCCAAGGAAAAAGTAAAGAAAGCTCTTACTAAACATGGTCATGGTCATGAACAAGAACTCTACGGTGCTGCACCAGGTTTTTGCACGTTCTTTGTTTTACTACTAAATTTTTTTCTGAACCAGAGAGATGGTTAATGTTAATGGTATTAACAACGGTTTATTAGCACGAGGAAGAGGTCACCACATTTCGGACACGGTGAGAGAGGAGTTTTTTCCGGACCCGATGAAAGAGGATATAGTGCCTCCAGGCACGAAGCTTTTTCCGATTGTGTCCGAGACAACCAGAGGAGTGGAACCAGTACGAGTCTCTCACGGACGCGAAGCACTGTCTCGTCCTGTAAGACCATCGGGTGTGTTATGAAAAGAAGAGAAAAGAGAAGCTCCAACGACATGACGCCTCATAACACCCACCACGAGAGCCGTGTAAAAGGATGCAAAACTATGTTAACTAGACATCTACCTTTAGATTAGAGCACAAGTCGAGTTAAGCTGTTTTTTTTTTTGGTAAAATCGAGTTAAAGTTGTAAAGTATGGTATATAAGTTGTTTTGGACCTTTTGGTTTGTGCGTGCTAAGCTAAACAGATTTCAAGTCCGTCTCCTCAACCACTTAAGGACATATCGACACTTTGAACATGTCTTCATCAGAGCATAGTTTACTCTTCACATGAGAAGTTACACAAACAGTTTACATGGTTTAATTAAGTTTTTCTCCCAAGTGGAAATATAAAAAGCCAATTACATATTGTTTACAAAAAGAAAATGAAAAAAGAAAATGAATGGAGGTGATGAAGAATTCGGTTTTTAATCAAATACATAACATGGAAAATGTTTTAAAGTTCCTCTTACGAATCACAGAAATACGGAAAATGATTAATATATAGATGTTTTTTTTTTGGATGAAAACAAAAGGAAAAGGATCTAGAGAGCTCGGCTTTGGATGATATCAAAGCTCATCTCGCTAGGATCAGTGGCTTGTAACTCCACCTGAATGCCGTCCAATTCTCTCTTGAACCTATCCTTAGAGCTTGCATACACCATCTTCATCCTCACTCTAGATGAATCCGGTGACCTATACCATCATCCAGCATATCCAACCAACCACATAAGCATTACTAACAATACCAAGTAACATGTAGTGTAGTCATAGTCTATAACTTATAGAGCTCGTTTAGTCTCGGTTAAATCTGGTTCAATGTATGCATGCAATTCTGTGTTTCTGGCTAGTTGAGATCGAGTTATCATGCTAATATGATTAACATTACCTATGAATTATAACGAGATAAACTATATAAGAAAATGAGAAACATTTCACAGATATCAACATCTAACATGATTATTAGACAATCTTCTCATCTGAAATTTAGATTTTTTTGACAATTTAGAGGCTCTATGTTTAACTTGGTTAGTTTCGGTTTAGTGGGTTTGTATACATGTAACTCTTTTGGACATAGGTAAGTTAAGTGAAAGGCATAAACCCCCAAAATGAGTTAATACATTAATTTAATATAAGATCATATAAATTGTTAAAACAAAATTTTATTAAAATTCTTACTAAATTGTCCATAACTTCTACAATATATTAGTCGATGATGAGCCGGTAATGACAGTAATGCCATAAAGGTGGTAAAAATACCATTGATGGTTTCTAAAAAGAGTAATATGTGTGAGAGACTACATATGCATTGCTGATGTTGTAATCTACAAGTTGAACATGTTCTAAACGTTTTAACTCAGTAAAGCTTATATATATCGTAAAATCTGATTAACATATGAAGCAAAGAAGGTTTAGAATCTCGTACCAGGCTATGAAGAAGATTTTGCTCTTCTGGCAGTTTTCATTGGTAGTAAAATCCAAATCAAAAACCGCGTAGCGGCACTCATCGGCAGGGAGGGAAGCTGTGAAGTCGTCATAAGTCTCCTGCGGACTTCCTAACTTCTCAACCACCACTTGCTGTCCATCTATCCTGAATATTATGAACCGATGGGTTCTTTTCTTTAGCTCCAAAAACTTCAGCTTGCAGTTGTCCTCCACTGCCATCCCCGATGCCGCGTTCGCCTTTTCATTCATTCATTATCATCAATTATATCACCATCAAATCACATATATCATTATCTTTTATACTGAGGTCACCAAGGTCTTTGGTCCCGTTATCAATATTTTGTTCATATATGGTCTACATTAGTTCTAATCTTCGTCTCGATATTAAGTATCACGCTAATATGATTAACTTATGAATTTAAACGAGATAAACTAAACAAACAAATGAGGAACATGTCAATAACATGGCGAAATCAACTTTAACATGATTTTTGACAATCCTCTCATCCAAACTTCATATTTAAAACCATTAGGTCTACATATTTTTCATAATCAGATGTTCTATCAAAAACTCATCAGGGTGGTTCTAAGACTAACACAATAAATTTTGGGAAATAAATAAAAGAGAAGAGGATACAAACCATTGTTTTTGTTTAGTTTCTATGGTAAGCTTGATGAAGATCGATTTGTTGTGAATCTTGATTGTCCTCTGGAAAAGAGGAAAATGTAAAAGAGGATAATGCTTAATTTGTTTGTGAAAAGAGGATCGAGACGAACTCGGACAACTTAAGACTCTTATTTATTATCTTTAATTCTGGTCTCTCGGTTTTGTTTTTGTTGTGATCACACCACACATTGTTTTCTGTTCTTCTAAACCTTAAAATTCGCTTAACCATCCCTTCTTTCAGGGAAATTTCCACTCTATTTTTAATCTATTTGTGTACACCATGCATACATAATACATGCATACGCATGCATGCATAAATAAGTATGTAGATTCATTATATGCATGCGTGATGCGTGAAATCAATAAGCTCTTTTTGTCAACATAAGGCAGCTTGTTTAGCTTTAGTATCCACGCAACATTTCTTTTGTTATTTTTGACTTTTGATCGTTAGGTTGCAAATCATTTTTGCTCATTTCCAAATTTCCATCTTTACGCCTTTTTTTAATGCAAATATAGCATTTAACGCATGTGTATTATATGAATAACATAAAAGACTACATATAAAATGGTCAAATATGTTACTGATATATCCTTAATAGCAAAGTCGGTCTTGAACTTAGAATGATGTTTAAGGATAGTCAGTTTATCTAGCCGCTCTTATCAGCTTCTCATTTTTCGATGATATAGAGTATGATTGATAAATGTTGTGATTTCATTTTTGTAGCTGTAAAATTATGTGATTTATTTTTGTTTTAGCTTTGGATTTTTAATTCTTATGAATCATTAGATTTAGGCTGTAGATACTTGTCTCTCTACATTAGTTATAATAACCTGATTTCAGAAAGGGTTTTGGGCAGTAGATATTTGTCTCTCTACATCAATTATAATAACCTGATTTCAAAAACGGGTTATAAACATTTTATAACTGTTGTAAACAATAAACAAATGATAAAGCTTGATTGCTTTAGATTAAGTGTTGTGAATTTAAATGATGCCGGCTATAAATCCCACAACTAATACCAATCATTCGCATATTCATGCTGGTCATCGCTGAACTAGCTGATGCTTGTAAAGTATGGAAGAAGACCAAATTTAAGCAAGATACTACTCTTAGCAAAATATGTTCAGGAAGACGATCTATTTCCACATCTAAATTACCATATAGTAACAAATGTACATAATATTTCAATGTCGTCCTAATTACACACCGTTTAAGTTTAACAACCTATTTCCACACACAAAAAGTACGAAACTCGTTTCTCCACAAACCAAAATTTGGCTTATTGGTTGATATTGGTATAACCTGACCCGAAAAAATCTAACTTGAGATCGCTTCTTACCCCATTGGGATAATAAACCAGTTCGGATCGGTTAATTGCATATCCTTGCAACCGATACAAACTGATTTATTATCGGTCTAAGTCATAAACCAACTTAACTAAGCGAAATCTTGGTTGGTGGGGAAATAGATTTCAAACTTTTTTCTTATGTGTAAATAGGTTGTTAAAATTAAATGATGTGCAATTAGGACGAGGTTGAAAAATTGTGTACATTTATTACTATATGATAGTTTAGGTGTGGAAATAGGACGTCTTCCCAATATCTTTAGAGTTAGTAATTGTAGTTATTTTTTTTCTCGTCATAGGAACAATTGTATTAGTTGTTCGTTACCTTTTCTAATATATTCTTCTCTTCGTATAATTTTAGTTATCATTTTAAATTTGTGCACAAAGACTAAGAAATCATTTAATTTTGCATATTTTCAAAATAAAAATACAATTACTTATACACCTAACCACATTTTAACCAATAGAAAAATAAAAAAGTAGATAAAACTAATAAATTTTGCATTGAAACTGTAAAACGACATTTATTTGAATTTTTTTTTCTCGAAAACGACGAATAAGGTGGAACGGAGGAAGTAATAATTACACATAATTTTTGAAAATTTAGTTAAGAGTATGTTAGTGTAAAGTTTCCGGAGTAATAATCACATAATTTTTGAGAATTTAGTTAGAGTATGTTAGTGTAAAGTTTCCGGAGTAATAATCACATAATTTTTGAGAATTTAGTTAGAGTATGTTAGTGTAAAGTTTCCACCGCCAACTGGAGCTGCACACTTTAGGTTTCATTTCATGCGACAGAAGGTGTATTAATATTTTTGGAAGTTCATAAATCTTGTTTACTGATATTAAAATCACAATATGATTGTGTCTCACTTGCACAATATCACAAATTATTTTTCAATAGATAATTCATCATTTCACTAATCTTATGTCAAATACGCTAAATTTTTGAGTTTTTTTCTCTAATCGGAAAAGTAAGTGTACGTTAGTGATAAAGATAATCAAATTAATATATTTTAGTCTTTAATATATAGCACAAACCGAAATGAAATGTTACAATTAAAATTCTGAAACAATGCTAGATGATCGTCGAATTTTAAATCCATTAATCAATTTTTATTTTTATTTTTCAGTCCACTAGTCATTTCGTATTTGTTAAAGTGGACCAAGTGTATTACAACAAAAACACTTCTTTTTTACGGTGGCTTCGGTGCGATATAGGAGTTGCTTCATATTAAGGCCCAAATAACGAGATAAAGGCCTAATACATGAGCCTAAGGCCCAAGTATTTAGTAACCTAATTCCCTGTAAGAGAAATACATAATAATATAAGGGTCAATCGACAAATAATAGTTAATAATAATAACACCTAAACCCTCTAAAACCCTAGCAGCACTCTTATAAAAACACACTCTCAGGCGCAGCTTCATCTCCACGACGCCATCCCCTCTCTTCGACAGCTTTCTCTCGCTTTTCGCAGTCTCTTTATTCCAAAGCAAAGATGAGACCTCCTCTAACTGGTGGTATGAACCCTAGCCGCCACTCTTTTCATTAATCTTCGTTGTTCAGTTTATCTATTTTAGGTTAAAAACTGCTAAGTCTGTGTTTGTTTAGTTAGAACTCTTTGTATATAGCTGAACTGAATCTAAAAGTTTCTTCCTTTACCTCATTAATGTAATGGGTGTTGTATATTTAAGGTTGGTTTAGTGAGAACTCTTTGTGTATAGCTTAACTGAATCTCAAAGTTGTTCCTTTTAGCTCATTGATGTAATGGGTATTAGCTATTTAAGTTTGGTTTAGTGAGAAGTCTTTGTGAATAGCTGAACTGAATCTCAAAGTTGTTCATTTTAGCTCATTAATGTAATGGGTATTGACCATTTAGGTTTAAAAGGAGAATGTTAAGTCTTTGTTTTGATTGTGTTTTTTTGTATTCAGGACGTGGTGGCGGTGGGTTCAGTGGTGGACGTGGTGGTGGTGGATACAGTGGTGGACGAGGAGGTAGCTCTGGAGGTAGAGGTAGAGGAGGAGGTGGAAGAGGTTTTGGTGACCGTGGTGGACGTGGTGGTGGTAGAATGAGCAGAGGTAGAGGAGACCGTGGTCGTGGCAGAAGTGGACCTGGTGGACGTGGTGGGATGAAGGGAGGCAGCAAAGTGATTGTGGAGCCACACAGACACGCAGGTGTGTTTATTGCCAAGGGTAAAGAGGAAGCTCTTGTCACTAAGAACTTGGTTCCTGGTGAAGCTGTTTACAACGAGAAGAGAATCTCTGTTCAGGTATATTATTAGAGAGTGTTGGTTTTTTTTATTTGATTTGTATTTATTTTGCTCCTTTTAATTGGCTTGTGATTGAATCTACAGAATGAAGATGGAACCAAGACTGAATACAGAGTGTGGAATCCTTTCCGTTCTAAGTTGGCTGCTGCTATTCTTGGTGGTGTTGATAACATTTACATTGTAAGTCACATTTTGTTATGCTTATTATAGTTTCTGCTGGTTGTGATTGAGACTTGTTCAGATATTAATAGTTTGTATTCGTTTCAATGTAGAAACCTGGTGCTAAAGTTCTATACCTTGGTGCTGCTTCTGGAACCACAGTCTCTCATGTATCTGATCTTGTTGGACCTGTAAGCAAAACTTACCCCTTATGGTTATGATTAGTATTTTTATGTTTGTTGATTTAACCGTTGGCTTTGTGATATCTTGTTACTTATATTTTTGTGATATTTTAGGAGGGATGTGTCTACGCAGTTGAGTTTTCTCACAGAAGTGGTAGAGATTTGGTGAACATGGCAAAGAAGAGGACTAATGTTATCCCAATCATTGAGGATGCTAGACACCCTGCTAAATACAGAATGCTTGTAGGCATGGTTGATGTTATCTTCGCTGATGTTGCTCAGCCTGATCAGGTTTGCTTCTTTTATTACATCTTACACAAATGAATGTCTAGTCCTAGTTTTTCTTACTGTATATCATTATACTTTGTGGTTTGGTTTTAAAACGTTGTTCTGATGATTGCAAATGATGATCTTTACTTGGATTCCCCTTCAGATCATTATGGATGATGCAAACTCCAAGTTCTGATGCTTAAGAACATCTTGTTTTCTTTTCTTTTTAATGTGGATTTTAGTTTGGTTTTGTTTGGTTTTTTTTTTTCTTCTTATTCTTCTTTTGTTTTTCAAATAAATATCTAACATTTTTTAGTAATATTATTTTTTGGTTTGATAATTTTATTGGCGG